GGCCGGGGCAAGCGTGGGGTGCGGGTCTCCTCCCGGCGCACAAGATGAGGCTGTGGAGTCACGGCCTCGGTGGAGCTTGGTAGAAGACTCTGTGAGGGCGTGAGGCACCCCAGAGGCTGCTTTTTGGCATTTGATGTCCCACAAAAGGCAAATCAGGGAAACGTAGTTTCTCTTTACCTCTTTGGGGCCGCTGCCTGACCTCTAGCTAACGCTCACCGAAACTTTCCACCCGGCCCCAACGACCTGCGGACCAAACAACGCCCCTGCAAGCCTGAGGGAAGAAGGACGTGTCCTGGGTGTTAAAAATCACGCCCTCTCTAACAGCACTGGTGTTACACCATGTTCAATTATCCTTGTGTCCCCTTTCTACTAACTTCGCACCTTTCAGTGGGCAGTCATTGAGCATAACCCTGCATACAAGAGGCAGTAACAACTTTCTCAGTCCCCCTGCAAGCATCTCTAAAATTATCAGATCAATATACTTAAATTAAACTCAACTTACGCTTTTTTCTCAACCAAACCCTAGTCGGTCTGACCAAAAATACAACTTTCCCTGTAAGCTTTCTGTGATTGCAGCTAACACTTGTTTTTCATTTGGCCGACTCTCAGTTTGTGGTCTCCAGCAATGCTGTTAAGGTCATGTAGCCACCATTCACTTGCCTGTCACAGATACAAAAGAAGAAAAAAAGAAAAAGAGCTTGCTTTATCACTACCCAAGTGTCAGTCATTATTACTTACCTTTATTTTTTTCATGCCTATAGTTGTATCAAGACAAAATAACCTCTTGTCTTCCTTTTTTTCTTGTTACTGCTTTTCATGGTGCCTCCCAGGCTATCTCAACAATCTCAGGAACACTTTGAGATATTTCTCTAGATAATTTTTTGGTCGTAAACGTCTAAATTCCAGTCTGCACTGATTCCCAAGAGCAGAGATTGGATGCTTTTCTCCAGCCAGTGAACAACCCCTAAGTACAGGCCCCACTGAAGGGATGACAGAGGTTAATGCAGGACCTCCAGAGGGTGCAGTCAGGCCACAGGATGCTGAAATGGAAAGTGACAGTGGTCTGGTTGAAATGGCTGATGTTCTGGGGGACACAGTGATGACTCAGGGGGCTGAGTGAGAGCGGACAATTGTCTCCTGAGATGGTGCCCCCTTGGCAAGTCTCATCTTTCCTGAGGTCATGTAATGCTACCCGTTTATTTCACAGCATGGCCCTGGAATTGAAGACTTCTCTGATCTCTTTGGACTTCAGTTTAGTGAGATCACGCTGGCCTATCTCTATGTAGGGGACACAAAGATAAACCCCATTACTGAATTTTGTAGACATTACCCTAGTAAAGATAAAAACACTGGAATCTTTTATAGCTCCTCCAGGGAGCTCTTAGGAGAGGGATAAGTCTTTTGAAATAACACACACACCCCCACCCCCACCCCACCCCATATTACAGAGAAATGATAATGAAAAAATCCTTACAAATACCAACATTTTGTGATGTGTTCTTTAGAGCCCAATGGACTTAGTGCTTAGAGATTAGAAACCTGGTGTGATCAGTAAGTCTTAAATTCCGTCATGAACTACCTTTTTCTAACAAATTATGCCTAGGCAGCAAATACAAAACTTTCTTTCTGGGAAGCTTTGGGAAACATTCTTCATTTTCAGAATTCTGCATTCACATAGAGCACATCAATTGAATATCCCATCTACTGCGCATGCAACTTTTTATTTCTGTACTGCAGAAAGAGATCATAGGAAGATACAGACATAGAATCAGAGGAGGATGACACCAGAGAGGAAACGACTGCTGCCTGCACCCCTAGAAGAATAGTTATTGACTTGACCAGAGTGCCTCTTCATGAGGAAATTAGTAACCAGGCACATGCAAGTAAACAAGCATTTTGCTTCTAAAGATTTTGTTACTCCACCAACTAAATATGATTGCTTAGACCACTGAGGGGAAGGAAAAAAAAATATTGTTAAGAAGGTGGCCAATAAGCCCATTGTGCTACCAAGTGAACTTTTAAAAAATGTTGTTCAATGTCAAGGGCCAAACTTTAAACAGGCAGCTACTAAGCAGCTTGAGCCATACTGGAGGATTGTTTTTAAAACTTTAGTGTACCCTGTTAGAGACACCTTTTATACATTCTAAGCAGCTTGCAACATTAACTTGCATCATAACTAACAGCACCATAAAAATCACAGCTTGAAAAATAAAGTCACTTTTAAATTTGAAACAAATGTCAGATATGATATGATCATTTCAAAGATTTTGTTGAGTTGCATGAATCTGAAATAGTTTTATAAGGAAAACTTAATAATGGGACAGGCTTGATAACCATGGTTTTATTTACCACTTTTACTTTTCATTTTTATTTGTATCTGTCCCACTGACACAAAAGGAGTTCTTCCTAGGAGTTCTTCCTAGGGCTGTTCCCTCTTAGCAGTCATATTGGATCACATAATCCAGCATTATTCAGTTAAAGTCTATACATTCGGAATCTCATGTTCTGGGTAACTTGCTGAATTTGTTTTGATTTTCTGGTAGCAAGAATTGGGGAAGCTCTACAACTAAAGTGGCTACACTAACAGAAACTCTGCAATAACCAACTTTTTATAAAACTACTAAAAATCCTAATCTTCAGAAAGGATGTACTCATGTAAAGCACTGAAAAAGTTTTGCAGTCAAGCTAGTTACCCAAGTTAGTAATTACTTATCTGGCTGTCATGGTTTAATATTGAAATGACACTTTTCCCTGTGCCATAGAATGTCCAGCTTCAACGGGGTGGTTTAGAGGAAGTGAACCAGGAGATGTGCTCCCCACCCTGTGATAAAAAAGGTTTTAGCAGAGTTTTTACAGGTAAACACTCTCAACCCCCTGAAGTATCCCTTTATCTTCAGAATGCACACCATTAAGAACAAGACCCGAGTAGTTTCTTCTGAACAAGTACACAACAGAAAGCAAAGAGTTAACAGCACAGTCAGCTATCTATGTGATCACCAAACCACAACTGTCTCCTGTTTATTGAGTAGGCCTAGGAAGATCTGCTACTAATGAGGCTTCTCAATAAGTAAGGCATTTTCTTTTCCAAGTCCAAGAGGCATCCAAACCCAAAGAGACCAAAAGCTTCAGTTTTGCACTGTCAAGACGGCTGTTCCTTTGGAAAGCAGCTGGGGTACAAGCAGAACTTTCTGGATTGCAAAGGTCCTGAGACCTGCCCTGCTTTGAGAAATACTCCTGAAGGGTAGCAATTTGCAACAGGAAAGCATCTGATACAAATCCAAAAGAATGATTCCTCTCAGATCAAATGTTGGGCTCTACTGGCCTCAAGGAAAGTCCAAGACAGGCAGTGCCACTTCAGATACTTCAGAATTGCCACTGCAGGTGCTACTCATTTTCCACTTGTGATGTGCCAGCTTGGAAAAAGTGGAGACAGTTCTTAATAGCACATTCACTGTCCGTAGAGAGTAGGCGATGGACAAAGATCACACTGTTCCAGAAAGCACCTTCTTCCATGTACTGCCACCCTCGTCCACGGCAGTACTGTCAAAGAGTAGCAGACCAGGATAAAGAATTAGAGAAAAAAAAAAAAAAATCAAACTCACTATTTCAAAGCCAAAAAGACACTTTTCAAGAACATAGAGACTGGATTTGCTATTCTGAAAAGATTTTGCTCTGTCCTGTTGGTATCTCAGTATATAAAAGGAAACACAAAACACCTGGTTTTGGTCAGTAAAGTGTCCATTTAATAAACTCCCTAGCCACATTCCCCACCCCCTCCTCCCACCCTAAAATTTCAATTCACACTTAAGCAGAAGATGACATAATTTGATGGTGTACAACAGAAGTTTTTAAATCCGCACTCTTTAATACTAAGAGTATCAGGGGCTAGTATTTAACAAAATTGCCTAGAACTCAGATATGCCCATGCAAAAAAGCAGGTTTTTATATACAGTCCCTATTTTTTTTCTTATAAATTTAAATATTTTACAAAAATGTATTTTCAAAATGTATAAAGTTTAGTGAATACCCCAAATGTATCTTAAAATAAAATGTTATCTGATTTCAAAGGTTATTTCAACAATGAAGTCTAAATTGCACCAGATAAAAGGCACTTGTGCTGTGTGATGTCTTGAGCAAATATATGTTAGTTTATAATACAGTAATACAGTGTTGTCTTGAATTCATGCAGTTGTCTCTGAGCATCAAGCATCATTAAAGCAGCCAAAGAGATTGTGAGTAAACTTGATTCCACCGTTGTAAAAACATTTTCTATTACTAAGTTGAAAATACAGCATTGTGCTCCAGCTCTGACTCTAGAATCAAACGCTACAGAAAAACTGCTGTCATTCACATGGGAATTCAAATTACATTTCATTCTCTCATAAGTTACAAAACAGAAGTATGCCATTTAATTATGAAACTAACACACCAATGAACAGCTGTGTTCAAATAGTTTGTGCCAATGAAAGTCTGTATTTAAAAAACAAGCTAGGGGCTAGTTATTCAAGGAGCAGTGCATCATATTTGCAATTTCCACTTCACTGTTGAGATAAAAGCGCAGTCCTATTTGCCTTCATCTTCTCCAGCCTTTTCATTAAGTGGCTATTGGTCATCTCCATCTCTTCTATCTTATCCAGTGCTGTTCTTAACTGTAAAATGAAAGCAGAAGTTATGATCATTAAGTGTACTTGGACTTTCTTCTGTTCTTAAGCTTTGACAAAGGAAATTAAATGAGGAATACAAGTATTATATGCTTTACAAGAGTGCTACATAAGTTAAGACAACAATTCCGTTATTACAGTCAGATGAACCACAATTCAACTGTTAAAAACAACCCTGGAAAGCAACAGAAAAATGAAACATGTACTCATTCCATAAGAACTAGGTGCCTGCAACTTCCTAGCACATGCTAGTTAAAGGTAAAAGTTCCCTCCACCATTCTTACTTGGTAATGGATATATATTCCCATGGGCAGCAAGTCATGCAGCAGCTCTTAAGCAAGCATGGTCAACAGCCCAGTTAAAAATAGCTTCTTCCCAGGTCCCTGTGGGGTGCATGCTGGAAACCTCCCAGGCTGGCACTTATCACAGGGAGCATTTGGCTCCCCAGCAATTTTTATGGAAGGATTAGCTTAAAATAGTACAAGTTATCACATTTAGAAGAAAATACAACTTTAGATCCTTCCTTTCAAGGAAGTACTGCATTGAACTGTAATTACTATTACTTTTATCTGCTACAGTTGTTTTCTGAATGCAATACTGGTAGACTCTGAGGTCACCTCTAAAAAAAAGGTGTAACTGAAGATTACAAAAAAACAGAGCTTGGAGGCAAAAGGCAGAGCAGTTCAAGACTGAAAGCAGCATACAGATGAAAAGGAAATCCAGTCAGTTACCTCTCGCTGAAGCCTCCTCTTTTCAGCTTTGAGTTCATCTTCTACTTTTTCTGCATTTTCTGCTGCATTTTTATACCTTGCAACCTGCCCCTCAAGTCGTCCAATCTGAAAACCCAGACAAGACAAAAGGCACAATTACTCAGGTGTTCCACCCTGAGCTCACCCGCCACCAGCTGTTCTTCCCTTTTCAAAAAGCCACTGTAACACAGGGCACCCTGTGAATTATCCATAGTATCTTCCCCCTGGAAAGAGGGGGTTTAACCATATTAGCAGCTGCCATAATTACAAAGAGTGTTTTTAAAAGAACTAATAAAACAGTAAAATAAATTGTGGGCAGAAACTTGGAATACCCTTCACTACCTGTCCCTCCCTGGTGAGGGTCACATGAAACGGTGGAGAATGCAGCTGAGAAGATACAGAAGGTTAAAGAACTAAGCAGAGAAGGACAAGTTGGAGAAAGAGAAATCAAGAATTGGGGAACACATGGGATTAAAAGCAAAAGCTGGAAAGCTGAAAAGCAGAGATCATATGAAAAGGTACAAAGTAGAAAGGAAACCATAACTGTTATCAGGACATGATGCAAGAGGTCTTGAGCTCAAGCAGAGTTCAGCAGTAAAGAGGAGGCTTGAGATAAATCCTGGCTGCAATCTGCAGGTGTTAAAGCCCACTCACTGAACTGTTACATTTACAGGTCCCTGCTACCCCCAAAGTCATAGGGCAGGCTAGTAGCCTGCTGCTGTGCAACAGAACAATTATGCATCTCTGATTCAAATTATAATCCTTTATGTGATTTTTAGGTGACCTACAGAGATGCTGAACTGTAATACCATATTACTGACTGACAATCACAAAGTGCGAGTAAATTAGCACGAGATATATATATACGTGTATATCTATAAAAACAAACTCTTGAATTTCAGAGAGTAAATTATGTACCTTCCACAGTCTATACAACTTTCTTGCAAGTAATTAAGCTACATAAACTGATTTTCTTGAACTAGTAGCTTCGGTTCCTCTTTATATTCTGCTATACATTTGCATCTTAGTAAATCAACTCCAGATTATTGTCTCTCATGGTTAGATAGTTTTTTGTTGAAGGAAGTATTGTAAAAGTGTGCAGAGCAAGTGTAATGATAACAACAAATATGATGAAAGACACTTACATTTTGTTCCAAGGTAGTTATATCTTGTTCAGCTTTTGAAAGCTTAAATTTGTATTCACTAATTTGCCTGTTGGCATCTCCTAGACAAAAATTGACATGAATATATTACTCAAAGCAACTCTCTAAACTGGCATTTTCCCTTTTAACTGAAATTCCTTAAAAAGACCATTTTATTAAGAAGCCCATATATAGGATTATAAAGAGGTAAATGTTCTTTCAGAAATCTTTTTTGAGAGTACAAAAAGGAAGTAATTTTCCTGTTATTTAGAGAACACAACCACTGTCTCTGTAAGAATGTACATTAAATCTCAGATGTATAAATAAGACACACACCTTTTAAAGCACACATATTTAGATCAGCAAACCCATCTCAAAGAGATTCATCACAATAACCAACACGCACTGCAAAATGGGTCAAGTCACAATAAATGTAATAGCAGTAGCATTTAGTGTAGATATCTGTAATAACATTTGAACGATAAGGAGCAAAAGGCTTGAACCTGCCTGAGAAACTCCAGGGAGCTTTGCGAATTATTTTGCTGTTATATTTTAGCCCTGACACTGTCAGTGCTCTGTTCATGTTCATTGTCACAAGCATATTAAATGACAATCTGTCAAACAATTAAAACTTTCAGCTGAAGAAAGAGCTAGCTTGAAATGGAAAGTAGCTTAGTGCTTCTATGAAGCAACATTGAATATTGTGTTAAACTTTAGTAGTTTTTCATGCTTTGCTTCAGATAAGTGATACAGAAACTTAATCTAAAAACTAAAGGTTCAACAAAATAAAATCAGGTAGAAGACATTAACAAAATATCTCAGCTGAAATTCTATCATGTAAAAACTGAATTTGTTCAAGTAGTGGCACCCATTCTAGGCAAGGCCATCAACTGAAAAATAACTTCCCAGAATGCTGTTATTCAATACTGAAAGAGGCAGATTTTTGAGCCATTCTGCAGTGAGAGGTTTCCTGCAAGGAGATACACGTAGCAAAAAACCTAGCTGCTCAACAATATATTCATTCACAATACTATTACTGCACAATAATATAGGAAAAGGAGTTGGAAGAGTCTGTTTCCTCTCGTCAGTAAGAACACCCTGAACGGTAACCATGTACTTACTCTGCATTTCAATCAGCTGCAAGTCAGAACCATTCTCTATGCCTATGATATCTGGATTCATGCCATCACTTTTAGAATATTTCTGTCGTTCTTCTTCCAACTGCATCTTCAGTTTTCTAACCTGAAAAAGAAGTGTCCTTTTGTGAAAAAAAGACTCCCAGTTCAGTAGTTGTGTACCCAAACGTGCAACGGGAAAAAGGCAAAGCAGCCCTGAGATGCCCCTGGCTGAGACAGTTCTGTAAGTGGGATCGGCAGAGCCATGCAGGGGAGGCAGAGAAGCCAGTCCCTGAGGCCTGGGGCTGCAGTCCCCCATCCCCATTGCTGGGCGAGTGCCCTCTGCATGTCCATGCACAACCCAAACCCACCAGTCTGGGTAGCGCTGCAGGGACCTCTGCGCAATTCAGGGGAACCCAGTAATCTAACAGAGCTGCCTTTCCAGAGGTGGCGGTATTAAACTCTGTTTATGCATTTCTTCTGTAGTATACCTTTTATACTCAAAACACATATATCCTGGTAAGTTTACAGAAAGATTAATCCACAGCTTTTCTGGGGTCCTCTCTTCTACTCCACCTGGAAGCAATGGTCCTAGGCAAGTCTGTAGTACACGTTAGTCAAATTGTTTCATTTTATGCTACAGCAGCTGTCTTGGGATTTTTCCAGTAGTCAGGGAACACAGATTCCTCAGCTATGTCCTCTGTGTCTGGAGTTTATGAAAGAAGTGGGACCTGCTTTTTTGACTCTTAGAAAAATAATGCCCTACACATTAGCAGTATGGGTGTTATACCTGCAAAACTGCCATTCATGATATAAATCAAATATTTTAAGTGATTTTTTTTACAATTATATGGTGATAAATACGCATATACATCTTTATATACTTATATTCAATAGCCTTGATTCAATACTAGAATTTATTAGCATTCTAAACCACGTATCTATACTAAAACTAAGCTACATCCCTGGCAAAACCAAACGTTGACAACACCACTTTAAATTTGCAGTGTGTTCAACTAGAAGCACAAAAACTATAGTACTCTCAACAAGTGTTCAATGGCTATATGTTTTCTTGAGTCTTCTCAATAATGAACTGTATTAAAACACAACTACTTTGATAATATTAATTTTCTATTTGAGTAACTGAAATGATCAAAGAAATAGTACCACTTTGCAATTTGGAAGAAAGTGTTACTTGACCTTATGAGAATGTAATTTTACTGACTTTACTACTTCCATGTAAGACAAAATAAAAGAAAGAATAACTTTAAGTATGTCCACTAATAGTAGAGTCAGCAGCCAGTTAGATTTCAGCTAACCAGTTAGTGAAATGAGGGTTCTTTACCACTCAAGATCTAGGTCACATTGATAAGGACATTGGTGAGAGAAGCTGATAATTCCTGGTAGCCAGCCAGGTAAGAAGTTGAGTATTTTATTTTGCTTTAGTGCTTAAGTATTTGATTAAGCACCTTTGGTGCTTAATATTTGTTTCTTGCTAATATGTTAATAGTCTGCAAGAAGATACACAAAGGTCTGTTGCTGAAAAGAATAGCTTATTTTACCTGGGACAATAGTTCTTCCTTTTCTCCAGCCAGTTTTCGTAGCCGGACATCTAAAACCAAAGAACCCAAGTAAAAAACAGTAACTAAGAATATATTTTTCATAACTTTGTTAATTTTCAAACAAAATGTTCTTCAAACTTAAAGCTAATAGCATTGGGAGCCTGAAACTTTGATAGCCCGCTAACAACAACATAGCAGCCTTCAGTTAAGACTAGAAAAAAGGGAAAGATATTTCATTCACACTGTTTTAACAATTTTAAAAGCAAGACCTCTGAGTTTAGTACTTACAATTAAACTTGTCTTGCTCTTAGACTGATATCCCTTCAGAGAAGGCACTAAGTTTCCCCATATGTTTAGAAAGTTTGCAGGAAGTGTTCTCAAACTACAAAAAAAAGTACTTGGGAAAGGGCTCACGGGAATGTTGCAGTATCTCTAATCAGTCCCAAGATCAGCAATGGCTACAAACCAGCCTGTCAAGGAACATCATGCTAAGATTAGAGCACCTCCCTCGGAAGTTGTAACTTGTGACAGAAACAAAGCATAAAGTCATTTATTTCACTATGATGGAGCCACAGCAGAAACTTGTATCAAGTCTAATCTCTGCCAAAACAGAAACATGTAACTTATATGTTATGTACAAATATAATGCAAGTCCATAGAGATGTTTCTTTGCATGTTAACTAATAGTTTTACAGTGGATTGACTATGCATACAATAACTTGTTCAACCTAAGGATAAAAGCCAGTTAAAATGAAGGCCCCAAAACCCTGTATCTTGCCCTTGTCTTTAGACTAACAGAATGTTAGTCTAAAGACAACAGTAAACAGACTAACAGACTAAAACCAGAATGTTTTTCGAACTTTATTTCCTAATGAATGTGATAAAAGATTGTACCTGCTTTACACTAACAAAGGCAGAAGTATTTCAAAGAAGGGGAAAGAATATACAAGGATTTTTTTTTCTATAATGGAAGTTTTTTCCTTGATTGTACATACTTTTAAAGAACTTTTTTCATGAAACCTCTTTCATTAAATGCAATGGAAAATACACTAATGCAGAAGACCACGCTTTTAGGCAAGATATTTTCTGACAGTAATAAACCAGAAACTGGACCAAGACATTTAATTGGTTACAAACATCCAAGCACTTCTTTTTTTAACTCAAAAGATACATCTGACTTTTTATTCAGTGTAAAAAAAATAATAAAATAAAATCATGGTCTTGAAAGTCATGTAAGCATATATTCCAGAAGCATCACAGGTGTCTTTTTGTGGCTGTAAATCACAACCCACTGTGAACAAGAGGGAAACAAAGACTTCAGACACACTATAAAGCATGTTAGGATATTTTTACCTAGTGGTCCTTCTCCTGCAGATTCCAAGACTTGAGCAGCTTCCTGTGATACAACTGTTATTGCACCAACCACTGATTCATGGTTTACATCACCATTCGGTGTGCCATCTGGAATAATAACTAATCCATGTTTCTAAAAATACAAAAGAAAAAAACTACTTATACAAGAGCAGTGCTAAAATATAATTGGACAGAGAAGCTTTTGAAAAGCTTTTCAAGTTGATCAAAACAGTTACAACAAAATGCACCATTTATCCTACCCTAAGGTCAGGTTTTGAGACTGCACAAGAATAGTAACTTCTTCCTCTTTTTCATTGACCTTGGTTTCATGCCCCGTTCCTGGATTTCTGTTACTGTAAAGTAACTACTACCAACATACCTCTCCTCTCTTCATCGTTTCCTTCAGGTCAGCCAACTCCTCTCTGAGCACATCTCTCTCATTCTTAATGCAGTCAAAGTAATCTTTCTGTCTTTCTAGGGCCTGGGTTCAGGCAGATAGCAAGAAAAAGAACGGCACAGAGAAAAAGCACGTGACAGATAGCAGAGAGATTTTCTACAAGGAAATACAAAGCTCAATAAAAGCAAAGAAATTAAAAGGGGTATTTAATATAGATAAACATATATCTCTGATAGCTACCTTTTACAAGTCACATATCTAGCCTCATTGCTGCATTTTTGTCATGATAATTTTTTCCTAGGCGAGTCTTAGTATATAGATTTGCTATAACAGATTTTCATTTAGTTGATTCTATTTTTGGTAGATTTTGATATACTAAACTGAATACCAAACAAGTAAGTGATTCTTTTTAATACAGGCACTCTGTGGCCAGAAACAAAATTTGCTGGAACTCAACTGACAGAGATCCTAAGACATTACATCCACTGAACTACATTCTCTACCTTTTATAGGGTATAGAAATCTTACCTCATAAAAGACCTTGGAGATATAAGCCTGTCATCTACTTACAAATACTAGTTTATTTGCTACTTGCTTAAGTACTACAACCACCCTTTACTAAAACTAAAGAATCAGTTTTAGAGGAAAAAAAGCAGCGAATGCTAGCAGCTCTATTTTAGCCCAAAAAAGGATTGCAGCTGAAAGCGCAATACGGATGTAGACGCTTTTGCCTACCTCACTGGAGTTTGTTACCTGGCAGTTAATCAGACACTTTCACTCGACTGGGCAGTGTCCCAGTATTCCATTCAAATTCAATACTGCATGCATTACAAATAATCCTGACCATACGGCAGCTGCAAAAGCGTACACACATTTTGCCAAGAAAATCATCCAACTAAACCTGACATCATGCATTGATGGTTAGGAATGGACTGATGCCAAGAAAGAAATGAAGGTGCGTAACTTTGTATTGTAATTGCCCCACATAGCAATTGCAGTACGCTGAATTTTAATAATTATCTATAATCCATATACTAGAGCAACGTTTTAATGCATTAATTAACATAAAAATTTAAGAAGTGCTGTTGCACTTGATTTATTAGTATGTAAATGCAACATTTAAAAGACAGGTAATTCAACATGCGTGAAAGCATTAGCTGTCACATCATAGTTTAAGAATTCATAAAATGACCTTTTATTTCTTAATACATACTAGATCTCTAACACAACAAACAGCTTGAAGAACCTTAATCATGACATAATTTTGCATTCCGCTTAAAGACACACACCCTTTTGCCATTTTTGAAGAACAGTGGCAGAGACAGAGGGGGAAGTAAGCTCACCCACTTGAGAGAATGGATACAGAGGCCCAGAATCACACTGCAGACACAGATCCTGTGTGTTTGGCAGTGCCCTGTGGTCCTGCTGACCTTCCCAAAAATCCTTTCTATCCTCAAACCCTATGCACAAGTTTAGGAAATCTGAAAAATTTGACAGGGAAGGAAGTGAAACTGATATAATCATTATTCAGTGCTGAAAAACTTTAGTAAAACTGCTGGCGTTTGTATGCTCAGGGATTATGATATGTGACATGGATTTTGTACTAAATATATTTTTGCAATTCATCTGTTGGGGTGGAGGGCAAAAGTCAGGACAACTAAGCTCTGCAGGCATGTTTTAACATATCAGTATGATTAAAATCTGATCAGTTGGCAGAAAGCAGATTTGTCTGGGGTCCTATTTTCTACATATTCAAAAAACCTTCACAAAATTTATACCAAACTCAGACATGCCATTGCTAATTTCAAATTGGCAATGCATGTACAATTTAGAGCCACAAAACAGTAAAAGAGCTGTATATTTAAAGAATATAACCTGGAAGTTATAGTTCAATGTCCTCAAATTTATCTAATTAAAGACCAAAAACAACTGCAAATTTCAATCACTTCATAGAAACAGGACAATATAAGGGACAGGTGTAAAACAAACTCATGCTATCTCTGTTCTGCTTGCCTCCCTTTCTTCCTCTGGGGCAGCATCAGTCTTTGATTAATTGTAAAACTAGGTTACAATTCTAGTTATAAGCTACTCCCTTGTGAAGCTTCTCAGAGACTTCTGAAGCTGGAACAGAGTAAAAGTTAGCAAAGCTACTCAGTATTGTGGAGAAAGACTCAAAAACTGTGAGCTAAGAAAAGTAAGTAAATGTTTTTAGATCACAGAAGCAAGAAAGAAGAGACAGAAGCATTTTGAGCTTTTAAGAACTAAGAGATTTCAATTCTGAGAAGGTAAAAAAATAAAAACTAGAAAAAATCCAGTTATAATGTTTACAAGAACCCAGAAACCATCAGGGAAATTTTGGCTACAGGAAAAAATATCTTTCTTGCCAATCTGTCTTGTAGTTATTTTTGTGAACATTACATAAATTATATGCTCCGTACCACCTTGGCAACGTATTTGAAAGAGAAAAAAGTGCTTGCACAAAAAAGCGCAAATTGAGACAGTCCAGTACACAAAGGTGAAGAGTAAGTATGGAAAGAATACGGTTAAAGATAAAACACACCTTTCAGAAGAATGTTCAGAAAAAAACTTAAGTGTTGAAGTATGACTTTATGATGGAAGATTGCAATATGAATTGAAGGACTGAAATGTGAAATAAATACGGATTGAAAAAAGGCAAAACAACAGGGCTTTTTTATAACTGGGCACCAATGGTTAAAAGAAAATTTTTCAAAGTGACTTGAACTCCAGCAAATACAACAATTTTCAAAGAAATCTGCATATGTCAAAATCTGTTGTAAAATTCAATTAGAGACCCTAGAATTCCCCAAAGGCATACAATTCCTTTCTAAATACTTTCCAGTTTACCCCCTCTCACCACCAGACAGTCTACTTGTGGCCCAGAACAGCCACAAGTTCAGAGCCAGGTAGTTAGCACCGAGGATCAGTCTGACTTGGACAGCTTTACCACTTCTGTGCTGCTCAGAAGCAAAGCTGACAAACGCTGCCTGACCTACAGTA